TGAGTAAATACTAAGTGAGCTCGCACTTGCTACGATTTCACTATTTAAATGTATGATGTATGACCTTATGTATAACTCCAACAATTAATGTGTGTGTCTTGATGCATCTTCTCGCACCCGATTGGCAAATGTTTATGAATATGTTCGCAATAAACTTTTATTTTACCGAAACTTATMAATAATTTGTTTTCAATTTTTAGTAACGCAAACCACAGACATAGATGTTTCCATCTCCATTTTTTTTTTTTACAAATTTGTTTCAACTAAAATTTGTTTACTTTTCAACTTTACTAACTCTCTGTCGCTCTCTGTGACGCTCCAACACTTTCTCACTACTTTACTATCTGTTGTTTTTGGTTTTTGTTTTACTTAGTGTATTTATGTTGTCTTTGTGTTTGTCTTTTATTATTGTTGTTTTGATCTATATACATACATATGTATATACTATGGAAATTTATATTTATCTATTGTGCTTCCGTTTCAGTGTTGTTGGTAATTGTACAAACAACTAAACAACAATAACAAAAAAATATATATACATAAAAAAAAATAGAAAATAATTCTTAACGTTTTTCAACTGTCTCAACGTAGTGTAAAAAAACAAAAACAAAAAAAGAAATTTAGTTTGTAGGAAAACAAACAAAAATATTGTAAAACTGAATCCGCTAATCTCTTTGTTTTTTGCCATTTCTCTTCTTGACTGTCTTTGTTACTGTGTTGTCAAATAAACATTCGTGATTTTCGTCGCATGGAATAACGGAATATTTCACACGAGCAGCATACACCTCGCAGCTGGATTGAGACAAATTTTCAGAAGAGAGAATGCATCAAATTCATACCATGCCCCAAAGATGAGACCAAGTGAGTATAAAAAAAATAATTCTATTAAGTTTAACTAGCGTACTAAGAGAATGAAAAAGATGAGTATCTTAGAATTAAARATCGAGCACACTGAAAATAACAACACATTTATGAATATTATAAACAATTTTTAGCGGACAACAAAAGTACCCAGAAATTTTAAATAAAACGCAAAATATATAATTATTCACCAGATGTAATACATTTATGCTAACGATTTGTCTAGTCCTCGAAACATTTTTTATAAGCACTTTGGAGATGACCTTGAGCTTCTTCAGCGAATTTTGTTTTATCCCTTCGAGCGACTGAAAACGGGTTCCACGGAGCAGCAATTTCAGTTTGGGTAACCAGGAAAAAGCACATGGAGCCAAATGCGGTGAAAACTGTGGTTGAACACTGGTATTCAGTGCGTTTTTGGATTTAAATTCGGTCCTAATTGTGGCTCGAWACAATGGTGCATTATTATCGTGTAAAATCCATGAAATCTTCTTCCACAATTCMGRCCATTTTCGACGGATGTTCTCACGCAAACGCCTCCAAACTGCCAAATGAACTCTTTATTTCTTTCAAAGATACTCTTTTTGAAGAAAATTCAGCTTCATCGCGTGGGTTTGAATGAAACCGAATCATCGTGCATTTTTTTTCATTCCATTCAACAATTTCGCACACGAAATTTGATTAAAAATATCAAAATTGAGAAAAATTCTTTGTTCGTTATTTTTAAAAATACTTAACACTGAGGTGTGGCGACTTATGCAGCTGCTGTAAACAAACTGGTTGATCTTACTCATACTTGGCATAGTAATATATGTTTTTGAAGTATCAGGCCCATGATAKGATAGCCTTATAATTTGAGGTCAGGCTCCAAACACCCATTTATGGACATTATTCTACACTRAAAAGGAGGAACTCACTTTTCTATACAAAACTTACCCTTATTGTTTCTCTCTTCCATTATTCGAATAACGCTATATACAAGCTTCTGTCGATGAATATTTCCTTTTGGAAAAAATCGATGATATTCTGTATATACATATATTAKTTTAAAATGTATACCTATTAGCCAATAATGTTTATGATGTATTCGTCCTGTTGAGAGCGCTCAAATGGGCTACACTCACCCAGAAGCTTGAAAATATCCAAAGCACGGCTCTCATTGATATCCGCGGTGCATTGTTGAGAAGCTTGTTTTAAGGTTCAGGGAAGCGSTATACAAAAGGATGCAACTAGGAACATGCGGAAATTCTTTCCTCTCTCAAATGCTTACCTGGCAACTTGAACCCTTGCATCGCAGTTGTGTACCGAGGAGAACAAGTCACTAAAGAAGATGCGCATTGAGTTTGGAAGAATTTTTGGCAAGTAAGTCTTTCAGGGAGGTAATCATTCACACCGACAAGAGAGCATTAATACTTGCGTTGAACTCGCTCATTAAATACTCAAAGTTAGTCAAGAAGTATCTATGCTGTTGCTAGTGAAGCTAGCAATAGTATTAAGCTACAATATTATTAGACTCATTTGGGTGCCTGGTCATTGTAAGATCGCTGAAAAGAGTAAGAATGGACCCGTTGTCCGCTTCTTTTATAGCGCTGGACCTATGGACCCCGCTTGAGCCTAGTAAGCGTCGGTTAAACACGAATTCCATTGCGTGTCCTTCTGACCTCGAGCTCTACGAAAATTGAGTTGGAAAGATCCGAGTACTTCTCCTTCTTTGTTCAGTATTTCCAAGAATGTGATTAAAATATCTCGACGCTCATACTCTCGGCGAACTAGGTGAATTAGYCGAAATTGGTATTAAAGGCTTCCGAAATTTTCAGACAAACTCAAAGCGCTTTGTCGTTTTATGAAAACCTTAATCAAAAATATATTGGATCTCAAGGTGTCACATCGGATCGGCATTCATTCACAGCTGTCCAACCGAGATCCTTTCTGCCTTTTAACAGGGGCTATGGCTTGCACCTCGAAGTGAAACAATAAAACAGTCTTCCTTATAGGTAAGTAGGTGAGAGCGCAGCCACCTTGGTTTCAATTAGCGCTGGTTGCACAATTTTTAAGTGTTATCATAAGGCCTTTTATAATCTTACTATCTCATTTCATCGCTCGAACTAGAACCATTTGGTATAAAATATTTCCTTTATGCTTTTTGCAGACAGCCATTCCAGGTTTGGTGCCTGAAAGGTTCCAAAGTTTCTCTGGCGGTAAAAGCTGGATCATCCAGCTAGCAGCCTTCCTGGTACTTAAAGAAAAATCTCCAAATGCACCTGAAATATGCGTAAAAATATCTGTCATTCATGATTTCAAAGTCAAACTCACCGCCGTTTTCAGTTCAACCAATATGATGTGTAAATAATTATTCAATTATCTTAATKGCTACTTTACTTCATCAGGCTCCAAACACCCACTACAAGCAAACCAATAATGGAGTGCACTGCCGTTACAAGTAAAGCGCCTAATGTGTGAAATATTTTAGTTCCAAATAACTCTATCATATTACAAGTAATTACCACCTACTATGAAATCCATAAACGCAGACAAAATTACAAAATAACCAAACTTTGGTCAACTCATTAAATTGTGAAATTTCAAATGACCACAATTTGCCTTCATTAAGGGATAATTGTAATTAATTTGAGTATTAGCTGGTGTTTCCATCACGTGGCAATGAACATAAAATCAAATTCACATACACATTTAAACCTAGTTAGATTGCATCAAGTTTAGTAAACATCAATTAAATTAAAGCAGTGCCTTCTGAGTAATTTATGAATGAATAAATTCTCTGGCAAAAGCAAACAGRCAAATATATATGTATGTAAATACAGTTATAGAAACATGGGAAATTAAAGGAGTTTAAGCAGCAGCGTAGACAAGGAGAGGAAGGAAATAACATAATAATATCTTGCCATAAGTTCTGTTACAAGTTCAGGCTGTTTTAAGAATAAAACTATAATATACTTTTTAACATAGTTTCTTTTTTTTTTAAATAATACATTTATTAAGTAAGCGATGGACAAATTTCAATTCAAATGGTCTGCTTTTGCTTTCACACATAACGCTTAAACGATTCGACCATTGATCAATATCGGCAGGCACCGTTTCTAATGGTAGACGWATCGAATCAACGATTTTTCAAGACCCTCCAAAATTATGTGGGGTATTCGACAAACCGTGCTCTCCAATTCTAATAACAAACAAACTGTAGTCCAATGGTTTCAAATGTAAATTTCCCGACGGCTAGCCATCTGTTGCTGTGAAACTAGGTACATATATTGCTTTTAGGCCACTGCTTGGTTGGTTTTTGGTCTTGCTGAAGGACTCAAAGGGGGGGTAGTCGCAAGGAATATGCGAAAACTTCTTTTCGAATTTCTTTTTAAATAGACGTTTTGCGTTGGAAGTTCACTAAAGTCAGCACTCTGTCCGATGACCTACCTTCTTGCATTCACCGATATAAGATTTCGTCAAGGTGTCATTGATAGTTCTGCCCTTAACTTGTCTGTTGTTGTTTTTTTACAACTATCGTATGAATTCGTACCACAGCCATCAGCCRTATTCGTCAGGGCTCTTAACACCTATTTCCTCTATCTTGACATTCTTACATTCCAGTACGAAAATGAACGAAATCCAACTACACCCACGCCTACTTCCCAATTAACCCAATTTCAATCTGATTCATTCACTTTCGAGTATACAAATCAGGAACCAATCAATGTATCCGGAAAAAACTTTGCATGTATAGTACTTTCATCTGCCATCCAGGACMAAAAATTGTTCAAAACGGTAGAAAATTATTCAAGCCTTCAGATATCGAATTCGTGGATCCCAGTTCCTATTGTGAACTTTTTACCGAAAATATCGGTTAATCCCTCAGATATATCATTGAAATATGAAAATAATTTTCGCCAGCTTTGATTTATGCAGGTTCGCGAATGTATAAGTGTTCGGTTATACCCGAACTTAACCATTCCTTACTTCGTTTTTATTACTTTGTAAGAGGGTTCTTACTAAAATCTAACCAACTTGAGGAGTTATGGAACTTTTATCGCAGGTCTCTTTAATATGCTATTCGAAAGCAATGTGTTTCTAGCAAACTTTCCAGAGTCCGTTTCGAAACCACTTCTATTTGATATCTTTTGAGATACACTTTCTTAAGTATTGATAATTTCCAGAATATCCTTCAATGCGCGTAGTGATTCACCGTTAATATCTGCAATTCACTCAAAACGGCTTCCCCGTAGCTGCCGATTGAGTTTGTTTGTKGAATAGCCAGAAGTCACATGCAGTTAAACGGTGATTGCGGCGCGATTTTGGTTGAAAATTTGGTGAAAAACTCACGAAGAATCAAAGCAGTATTCAACGATGCTTTATCATAGTGCAAAACCAATAGCTATCGGCATCTTTTTTCGAATAGCCTCTCGCAAACGACGTATAACACTGAAATAGTATTCCTTGTAGACAGTTTGGCTGATCGGAAGCAATTCGGAGTACACACACCTCGATAATCAATATAATCTTGATTTTGACCTGCTTTGACGTGGTTTTTTSGGCTTCGCTTCATCTTTGTCGTCTKTTTCTGAGTCGTAAGCAYAGACCAATTCTTATTGAGAATCATCGTCAGTAATAATGCGTTTCATGACATTCTGGTAGTCGGAAATTATTGTTTCACAGATATTAACGCGATAACGTTTTTCGATAGAATTATGTGATTTGGGAACCRATCGTGCTTTCACATTTTTTAGACCAAATGATCTTTCAAAATAGTTTTCACTGATCTTCTTAATATTTCAACGATATCAGAGCGAACTCTGACTGTTAAACGTCGATCTTTAAGCACCAATTCCTATATTTTATCGACRTGTTGATCATCARTTGATGCTGATGGCCATCCTGGAYGTAGTTCGTCGTGAACGTGTTCTCGGCCTTCTCTAAATATTTGTTTCAATCAAAAACACTTGCTCGCGGCAAACAACTCTCACTAAAAGCCTTTTCCAAAATTCTGAACGTTT